ATTAATCTATATTTACTTTGTTCTTGTTTATCTTAGACTTGTTATCTTGTACATGTTTGAGAAAAAATTTAAAATAAATAAATAAATAAATAAAATTGCACAATTGCCTAGAAAATAGCTCAACAACACAGTAAAAAAAATGATACATCTAATGAGCATGAATGCTCATCTCAGACTAAATGAATCCCAGCACACCTTAGATAATCACAAGGAGCAACTGGAATGAACCATGACCCCAAAACTCACAAAATGCTGACCACCACCCTTCAAGAGTACATCTGTAAGACAAGCTGAAGAAAGGAAAAACTAAACTGCAAATCAAATCAGTCAAGTTAAAGCCAAAATATCCTTTAGAAAGATGTTGTAGGAGGTGGCAGGTCTTAACTATAACATAGACAATGCTAATCAATTAGAATTTTTGCAGCATTTAAAACTGCAGGGTATGCGACAGAGAAAACATAAGGCAAACAATCGTACCACAGACCAAAAGAACCCAGAAAAGGCACCGATGATATTACCTAGGTGAGTAATGAAACATCTGCAAGACAACAACCAAGCTCATATTACAAGGACTCCATACTTCAGTGGTGGGATTAAAAACAATTATTACTGGTTCTGTGGGTATAGCTTGGTGAGCGTGGTGTGGCTTGGTGGGTGTGGCAGGGGAAGGATACTGTAAAATCTCCATTCTTTTCCCACTCTAGGGGAAGGTTACTACAAAATCCCATTCCCTCCCCACCCCACTAACCTGCTTTCCAGCTCCGTTCTCCTATGCTGGGCAACAAAAGAAGACCCAACCGATCAGTTGGGACTCGGGAGGCAGAGAATAGATGGGGAGAATAGACGGGGCCAGTCAGAGGTGGTATTTGCTGGTTCTCTGAACTACTCAAAATTTCCACTACCGGTTCTCTAGAATTGGTCAGAACCTGCTGAATACCACCTCTGCCATACTTCAACCCCAAGCTACATCTATTCCAGTCTATTGGAATGAATGGGGATCATCTTCTATGGAGGTGCTGGATTTTGTCATCATGACTACTTGGATTTAAACCTTGGAAGTGTGCTAGTTCTATACGATTATCTCAATAAAAATTTGGAAGGATGAATAACAGGGCTAGACTTTTATGACGTTTAGGCGTGATTTCAAAGTAGGCATTTTGTTTGGAGTACTTGTCAGTTTTCCTTCCTCTCTTTTCTTTGCCTTCAATTCCCAACCAAAGCTTCTGCGGCTATCTCATTTTCTGTCAAAACCTGGAATCACATCTTCCTCTAGCAACTGCAAGATGTCTTCATTTGCCAGTTTTCTCCATGATGCTGAACTAATAACTGACTTCTCTGAAACTATATTTATATTTTACATTTTACATTCATATATTGTATATATCGTATAGATTGTATACATATATTGTATCTGTTGAATGTTGCAGTATATCATCTGGGGATGGATTTTTCTTTTGGGGGGTTATTGTTTGTTTTAATGTCGTATACTTTCCCCAAGTAAGTTTGAGTTGTGTGACCTAATGTCAATAAATAAATTAGAAATCTGTGCCAATGTTGTAAAGCAATTTTGCTAACCAGCTGCAGTATTGGAATTTTGACTGGTTTCCAAGCTGTAGCAAAAATGAAAATCGATGGCTTTAACTTATAGGTTCTAAAGTTTTTAAGGCCATCTTATGTCACTTTTCTTATCAGAAGTTGTCCTCCAACACAACCAAAATTCACCATTTCAAAAAAAAAAAAGTATGAACCCTTTTATTTGATAGAATGGTTCATGGTCTGGATAACTATACTACATTTTTGGACAAGAACCACACATTTTTCTTCCCCAAATAATAAGCAGAAATATTTCAGACTTAGAAAAGCCATGGTGTTTCACTTGCTATTTTCAGCATCTCAATTAGAACACTTCTGATTTCTGAAACAAATTGATTGAAGAACTGTTCCTGAAAAAAAAAAGTGTTGACATAGACCATATCGTTTGTGAATCCATGCTGGCAGTTGATGCATAATGCCTTTTAACACTTTTGAATAATGTGACTTGCCAATAGTGACTGACGTTAATCTATGCAATGCAGTGGCATTTGCACAAAGTAACAATGCAATCCATTTCTTGCCTATCTACATCCTGCTGATTTTTTTATATTTAAATGCCGGAATGTTCTTGAGAACCTCATGTTCGAAGAAACCAGTCTCTTTTGCATTGTAAATTTTGACAATATGATGCCTTCATCATTGATGGGTTTGTTTAAGCCTTTCCTGTAAGGCAGTATCTCTTCCATTGCTGCTCCATATTCAAAGCTTTATTGACAAAGTGTTTGCTAATGGTTGCAGTCCATTTTTAAAATTACCAAAGCCATCCATCATCAGCTTTAAAACTTATTTTCACATGGTCAATCTATTATGTGCATTTTAAAACACCCTAATGCTTAACATTTCTACACTTTCATTGAGTGTTTCGCCTGGACCCATTTTTGTTTTTTGCTTGTAACAATTTCAGCTTTGTTAAGTTTAACAAAAAACAACAACCCTGTTTGTTCCTTAGCACAGCGGTCTCCAACCTTTGTTTGCTGATCCGGCTGGGAGGAGAGGGTTAAAGGGGAACCAGGCCATGTGAGTGATGGGCTGACACGCGCCACCATCTCCACCAGTGGTGGGATTCAATTTTTTTTACTACCGGTTCTGTGGGTGTGGCTTGGTGGGCGTGGCAGGAGAAGGAGACTGTAAAATCTCCAGTCAGAGGTGGTATATGCCGGTTCTCTGAACTGCTCAAAATTTCCACTACCGGTTCTCCAGAACTGGTCAGAACCTGCTGAATACTACCTCTGATCTCCACTCACATAAAAAAGAACCAAAAGCAGTGGTGGAATTCAAACATTTTTACTACTGGTTCTGTGGGTGTGGCTTGGTGGGCATGGAGTGGATTGATGGGCGAGGCGTGGTAGGCGTGACAGGGCAAGGATACTGCAAAATCTCTATTCCCTCCCCACTCCTGTGGAAAGGTTACTGCAAAACCCCATTCCCTCCCCATCCCATTAACCTGCTTTTCAGCTCCGTTCTCCAGTGCAGGGCAACCAAAGAAGACCCAGCTGATCAGCTGGGACTCAGGAGGCAGAGGATAGATGGGGGCAGGGGCAGTCAGAGGTGGTATTTGCCGGTTCTCTGAACTACTCAAAATTTCCACTACCGGTTCTCCAGAACTGGTCAGAACCTGCTGAATATCACCTCTGACCAAAAGCTTTTGCAAAGGGATGGAAGGCTTAAAGTAGTTTAAGATAGATATCTACCCCATTTCATCTGTTTGCAAAAGCCTTTCATTTGTTTGCAAAAGCTTTTGGCATGGAGAAGAGAAGCCCTTGGAGCCACAGTTTCATGCTCCTTCAGACTTATCAAGGCTGCCCAATGCTCCAAAAGTGGATCAGTTGTCCTGAGCAGGCAGCCTCAGTGAGTCAGCATAGCTGAGGAGGGTGCGCTCGTTCTGCTCAGTCTCTGCTCTCACTGGAACACTTTTGGAACATGGGGAGCATGAGACTTGGTGGCCCAGTGGTGGTGGGAGGGAACCTTGGACATGTGATTGGCAGGCCTATGCGCATGCATGTGTGTGCAGGTCCACTCACACAAGAGAAAAAAAAGCATTTGGGGCACTGCTTGCACAAGTGGATCTGTACACACCAGCCTGCCTCTCACATGCCCCAGTTCTGAATAGGCCATGGCCCAATAGTGGATTGTGAGGGGCTGCTTTAGCACCATACTTTTTATACATATGTAATAGGTGGTCCTGATCTAACCTACTCTATTTATGGCTTTACACTGAAATTTACTTTCTTTTTTTAACACACACTGCACACATCCCTTGAAGCCATGATTTGTTAAGTGCTATAATATATTAACACAAAACAATATAAACAATGCTAGAGGTAATCTTTGACCTACAACCATTTGTTTACTGAACATTTGAAGTTACAACAGCACTTAAAAAAAGTGACTTATTACCGTTTTTCACACTTAAAGATCATTGTAGTATTCCCATGGTCACAGTAACTGGCATTGATTGCTTCATACGATCTAGTGAAAGATAAATACCATTTTGGGTTCAGCAACCTTCCAGGAAGTTTTCCTTCCTCCAATTTTTCAGCCTAGCCTACAATATTGGGCTTTCCCAAAATGTCCTATTCAGATAATAATCAGCTCTTAGTCTGCTTAGTTTTTTCCCCTTTAATTCCTCTAATATTTAGCATCAATGGATGTAAGGAAAGTTTGCCTTCTGACATAATTAATATCCAATGAAACAGAAGACAGATTAATCTCACTTATATTCTTTGAAAGCCGACTTAGTTGTATTTGATTTTACCATTTTACAATTAGTTAAAGGCAAAATGTGATCATGACATTTATCTGGATTTAGCCTACAGCTTCTGAACTATTGTAACGATATATTAAAATATATTGTACATGAATATAATATCATATGTACTGCAATACTTACACCTGATGTTCAGATACATAACCAGCTACTAAGGGTGACTTTTACAGATTAACTACAGGTAGTCCTTGATTTATAACAGTTTCTTTTAATGACCATTTGAAGTTATAATGGTATTGAAAAAAGTGATTTATGACTATTTTTCACACTTACGACCATTGCAGCATCTCTATGATCATGTGATCAAAATTCAGATACTTGGCAATTCTCATATTTATGACATTTCAATGTCCCGTGTTACTAACGTAACGCAGAGATTCACTTAATTACCAACAAGAAAGGTCGTAAAATGGGGCAAAACTCATTTAATAAATGTCTGTCTTAGCTGTATAATTTTTCGGATCAATTGTGGTCATTAGTCAAGGGCTACCTGTACATATACTGATCTGGGAACAAGCCCAGTGTAGTAAATTAGCTTTATTCCTCATGACGGAATTAGAGAATTGCACCGTACGATATGTATACATACTTGGAAAATACTTAAATGTACTTATAGTTTTGTTTTTTTTCTCCTCTGCAGCCACCAGTGTCCATTCAGTCTATAGTAGTCCAAGTCCAATGCATTAATCGAAAAGTAGGAACTATTATCAACCATGAAGTTCGGATCGTGGTGAGGGATAGAAATGATAACTCTCCCCAGTTCCAGCAAGAACAGTACTATGTCACAGTGAATGAGGTGAGATTTTTTTTTATTTTTCGTGTTATTATTACTACTGTTTATTTTCATTTTTCTGATAGAGCAGGGGTGTCAAACTTGATTTCATTGAGGGCTTCATTAGGGTTGTGTTTGACCTCGGGGGGCTGGGGTGGACGTGGCCAGCATGACATCACTCATGTTTTGGGGGTGCTTTTGGTGGCCCAAACACTCTGCCAGTGAAAATGGGCTCCCGAGCTCCGTTTTCAGCTGAGATGGCCTCCTGCAATCCTCAGGGGAGGAGAGGCGTGCACGGCCCTCATGAGCTCCATTTTCGCTAGCAGAGGCATCACAGGCCGGTCCTTCTTTGTTTCCAGGGCAACCCTGCGGGCCAGATCTAAGGACCCCGTGGGCCAAATCTGGCTCGCAGGCCTTCAGTTTGACACCCCAGGAGTAGAGTGCTTAGAACATAATGTGTTTCCACACAGCAACTTTGTTTGCTTAAGTAACAAGCTGCAGTTAAGGTTACTTACTCATTTCTATTTGATTTTGAAACACTTGCTCTGAGCAGAATCCCCAAATTAAATAAACAAGTAAATCCAAACCTACCCACCCAGAGCATATTGCCATAATTATATAAAATAGTTTATATAAAAGAACTCTGAACAATCTAAGAGCAAGATGAAAATGAAATGTTATGAAATCTTGATTTAACAGATCATTTGGGACGAAAGAGGTAGCAAACACGAATATTGGTTAAATCTGAAATTACATAATTGCATAATGTATCATTTGCATCGTTATTTGATTTACATCATTGGTGGCAATATATGCCATTTGGTTAACAAATGATGTAATTAAGAAAATGATGTAAATAGATATAAAGTTAGATTAGCAGCCAAGATGTCATGGATTAATCTACAAGGAAAGACACCTTCTGACTGCAAACATTGTAGTTAGTTGGAACAACTTTTATGTGATACATCTTTAGAACAGGCAAAATTAATACATTTTCCAAAGCAAGTAATTATTGATCTCTATAAAATGTTAAACCCATATGTTTTTTTAGGAAATGTAGAACATAAATGAGTGATTGGTGGCCATTCGGTTATGTGAAATACAAATTATTCACATTCGGACATATGTGTGGTATTCACAATACACACAAATATACCTATATACACACCTACAAATACACTCATACATAAAAGCTGCTAATTCCTAACCTAATTAAGTATTTTATTCTGGTCCCTCTGATCAATTCTATATAAACCTTTTACTCTACGATTCAAATAATGTGACTAAATTCTGTCATGTAATTATATTAAGATATGCAGTAGTTTGATTGACAATTCTGTTACTTAATTAGTTAATCAATATCAGTTTTATGGAACCAAGGTTTTTTTTATAGACTGGCCATTGAGAGCAATTAAGATTTTGATTCTGATATAAGGGCCACAAATTCAATGTCAATTCTCCAGACAACCATGGATTTGGTTTCAAATTCAGATTTTATCTCTTGCATCAAGATCTGCCAAATGGAGACCCATACAGCTGAGGTGTAATTATATTATCTTCATTGTACATTCTACAAAAGGACTGGTCTGTCTGTTCAGCTGGAATGCATCTTCAAATAGTAAGGTACAGGCTGGAAGCATGCAAATCAAATTGAATTGGCCAAGAAGATCCTATGGGAGGTGTTATTTTATTTATTTTTATTTATTTATTTTATTTGTCAAGCATGTATTATATAACAGATATAATTAGAACATGATTATAATTACATGAAATGGGTACAAATAAAAGGGGACATTAGAACAGGGATGGTAGGGCACGTTGGTGCGCTTATGCACGCTCATTAGAGACCTCTTAGGAATGGGGTGAGGCCAACAGTAGACAGTCTAAGGTTAAAGTTTGGGGGGTTTGGGGAAGAGACCATAGAATCAGGTAGTGCATTCCATGCATTGATAACTCTGTTGCTGAAGTTGTATTTTTTGCAATCGAATTTGGAGTGGTTTACCTTAAGTTTGTATCTATTGTGTGCTCGTGTATTGTTGAGGTTGAAGCTGAAGTAGTCATAGACAGGTAGGACATTGTAGCAGATAATTTTATGTGTTATTTTAGGAACTCTTGCAGCCATTGTTGTCCTTTCTAGGGCTGTTAGTACAGTTTCTGAACAAGTATTACCTATACCAGTTTGGTACCACATTTACCATCAGCTGCGATTTTGAATAATCTTCAAGTTCAGGATCAGCTAATACCAGGAATTTATCAAAGCATGGATTTGTATGGTCGAGCCAACTTTTCTGAGGAAAAGCTGAAACTGCAGGACCAGGAGCACTTCTCTCTATCAGGCTTTGTACTTGCCCCTTTCGAGAAAGATAATCCCATTAGAATTAGAGTTATACCTGTTTCTAGACCCAGAGGTTACCAATTCACAGGATTTTCTCCTTCTCAGGTGAGGCTAAAGTTTATTGGATCCCCTTGCTCCCATTACAGCATTCAAATATTGATCCAACTCCACTATCATACCTAACTCTGGCGACAGGCAGAAAAAGAGCTGAATCTCATCAGCATACTGGTGACACTTAATCCCCAATTCCCAGGGATTTTGCCCAGAAGCTTTATATAGACATTAAGGAACTGTATTTAAAAGAGCTATCTTTAAACTAAAGAGCAGTTACATCCAGGAAGATAAAGAACATAGTGGAAGAAAAGTTCCACACAACCTTTAAAAGAGCAAAGAGCCAAAGTTTGAGACAACTAGGTAGGTGTTATGGTAGCTCTGCCTGCCAGTTGATAGTAAGCTGACTTTTCCCCCAGCTTTTATTGCCAATTCTCACAAGAACCAGGAAGCCTCAGACATTTTGAGATACAGCTGTCCTAATCTTGCAATAGCCAGGAACCATTGCAAGGCTTCTTCATTGTTCATCCTGACAGGAAAGTCCCAACTTCCTTTGGCTGTCTCTCACCACCTTCAAAAAAGAAGAGCAGATGAAACTGTACCTCCCATGTACTTTTTCCTCTAAGGTGGCATGAATAAATGAAGAAGACACACCTACATACATATTGTATATACACATAACACAGTATATGAACATGCATGAATGTATGTGCAACATTTGCAAGGTGGGAGGGGTAAATCAAATTGGTCACTCTAACAAGACCTCCATCTATTTTATAAGTTGGTTTTTCAAGTGATACACGTATCCCAAAGGAGAAGAGCTTTTGGGACATTCTGGCATTGCTTGTTGAAATGGGCATGCATAGCTGGATCAGTTCATGCCCATATATGTGCATGTATATCTAAAATTATACAAAGTGCAACATTTGCAAATATGAAGATTGACCATGTATGGATCATCAATATAAAACTTGTTTTGATAATAAATTCCATCAAAGGGCTTAATATCCAACCCCCACCTCCCCCCCCCAATGAATGTTCTTCAAGATCCTGAGTATATTTCAAAAGTGTGTTTCTTCATAATTCAAAACCAGGACTAATTCTGATATCATCCAGGTAGTGTGAATTTCAATCCAGCTTACCCTGACTGACTATTTGTGCAAAATTGACAACATATACAGTTTAGCACAGAACTGTTCTGGTGTATGGTTCCTGCACTATCAATGTAAGAACTGGTGTTCTGCCTGTTAGTTTACATTGGGATCCTTATCTGAGAGGAATTGCAGCAACTGTGATGCAGAAGTAGAAGCAGAAGTGAAAATAAAAACTATCATGAACTAAATTATTTCCATAGGACATCTTGATTCTGATTCAGCTTTCATTATTTTTCCCCTATTGATGGTGAGAGCAACACATTTGACTAGTCCAGTGGTGGCTAACCATTTTGGGCTCCTGTGCCAAAAATTGTGTGCACGCTTGTGCGTGTGCACTTGTGTGCCAGCACCCCGAAGGCAATGCTCATGGGGCCCCCATGCCCCCCCCCCGCCGCTGCCCCCTTACCTGCACTGCACCTCCAAGCTGATTTTCGGCCCGTTTGAGGCCTTTTTCAGCCTCCCAAAGGCTGCAATCTTTGCAGCCAAAAAATGGGCCCGTTTTGTCACTTCTGGTATTTCTGGAAATATGAAACAGGCCTATTTTTCATCCTCCAAAGACTGCAGAAGCTTCTCTCAAACCTCTGGGAGGCCGAAAAAGGCCTCAAACGTGCTGAAAATCAGCTGGGAGGTGCGTGCATGCGCAGTGAGGTAAGTTTGCCTGGGGCTCACATGCCTGCACAAATGGCTCTGTGTGCCACCTGTGGCATGTGTGCCATAGGTTCGCCATCACGGAACTAGTCCAAACTGCATTGCAATATCTTGGCTGTATATAGAGGCAGCGTTGAGCAGTAATTCTATTTCAAATGGTGTTTTTCAGTAGAGCTTCAGATTGTTCATATAAAAAAAGTGGGATATTCTGGCAGATTTTTTTTAAAATACTTTATAGCTTTGGCCTGACATATTCAATATTGTTCACAGAAGAATCAGTGCAATAACAAACAGGTGAGAATGAGTCACCTTAAAAGACTCCTTTCTTGCTATTAACCTCTTCCAGTCTATTGTCATTGATCAGCAACCATGGCTTCCATTGATCTTTGTACAAAGTTTCTGATGTTTCCAGGCATCCATTATTTATCTAATTACATGACAAGGAGCTGAATGCCTTCGTGTAATCAGTCTAAGCTATATTCAAGTTGATGTTTCTTCTCTTGCAGTTTTCCAAAATCATCATATCAATTAGGAGCTAATCTTTTGTTCCTCTCCCAGTTGGACAGTTTCCTTTCTGCTCAGGTAGAAAAATCTTTGTTTCCAATTAGATGCTGTTGGAATGCATCTGCTACCACACTAGTTAGCCTTTTGAAAGTTGTTGGTAAGCAGGTAGTTGGTAAGCAGGTGTAGTTGCCTGGTGCTGCCCATTTTGTTGGATCTTTCATTATCAAGTAGGTAGGTTTTATCAAATGTTAACCAGTCGTCAATTTCATCTCCTTTGATGGGAGAGATATTCTTTGTCTGGCTCCTCTGGTTGGAACTGTCCAGTATGGTTG